GTACACCTTACCTGGCAAATTAGACACTTGAAGCTTGTGAGGCAGTTCAGGCTTGTTGTACCTGAAATGCTCTCTGAAATTTTAAGGCCTCTAAGGTTGATTAAAAGTTACTGCTTGTGAGCAGATATGAAAAAGAAGTGATTGACTGACTTCTAACAGTGGCACTCTCATTTCTTTCTCACCTAATACTAAGGAGTGATCCTAATATAACTCATCCCTCTTCTAGGGGAGTGCACACTCTCCTCAGGGTCTGCCTGTACAACCTCCCTTACTGACTCCAGGTGCATAGTGGGAATTTGAAAACCAACTATGCTTGGAGGGAAAATTGCAAGGTCTAATCCAGAAAAGAAAAAACACACAAAAGGAACTCAAGATCTTTCTCAATACTAAATGCTACAATCAAAATACATAGGGTAGCTGATTGGATGAAAAAAACAAAATCCATCTACATGCTGCCTATAAGAGACTCACTTCAGAGCTAAAGACAAACAAAGATTGGAAGTGAGAGGATGGGAAAAGCTATCTCATGCAAATAGAAATGACAAGAAAGCAGGAGTAGCAATACACGTATAAGATAAAGTAGACATTAAAAAAAAGTCTATTACAAAAGACAAAGAAGGGCATTATTTGTTTAATAAATTTATTTATTTGTTTGTTTTTATTTTTGGCTGTGTTGGGTCTTCCTTGCTGTACGCGGGCTTTCTCTAGTTGCAGCGAGTGGTGCACAGGCTTCTCATTGTTGTGGCTTCTCTTGTTGCAGAGCATGGGCTCTAGGCATGTGGGCTTCAGTTGTTGTGACACATGGGCTCTAGACCGCAGGCTCAGTAGTTGTGGCACCCAGGCTTAGTTGCTCCATGGCATGTGGGATCTTCCCGGGCCAGGGATCAAACCCATGTCCCCTGCATTGGCAGGCAGATTCCCAACCACTGCACCACCAAGGAAGCCCAGAAAGGCATTATTTAATGATACAGGGATCAATACAAGAAGAAGTTACAATATTTGTAAACATATGTGCACCTAATATAGGAACACCTAAATATATAAAGCAAATATTAACAGACATAAAAGGGAGAAATTTATAATAATACGATAATAGTAGGGGAATTTAACACCAACTTACATCACTGAACAGATCATCCAGACAAAAATTCAATACAGAAACAGTGGCCTTAAATGACATATTAGACCAGTTGGAATTAATAGATATCTACAGGACATTCAATCCCCAATAAAAACATAATACACAATATTTTCAAATGCATGTGGAACATTCTCCAGGATAGATCCCATGATAGGACATAAAACAAGTCTCAACAAATTAAAGAAGATAGAAATTTTACCAAACATCATTTCTGACTACAACGGTATGAAACTAGAAATCAGTTACAGGAAGAAAAGTGGAAAAAACACAAACACATGGAGATTAGACAACATGCTATTAAAAAACCAATGGGTCAACAAACAAAGAGCAAATCAGAAAATATCTTGAGACAAATGAAAATTAAATGCAACTTTCCAGAAGCAGTTCTAAGAGGGAAGTTTATAGCAATACAGGCCTACCTCAAGAAATAAGAAAAATATCAAATAAACAACCTAAGCTACCATCTAAATGAATTAGAAAAAGAAGAAAAAAGCCCAAAGTCAGGAGAAGGAAGGAAATAATAATGATCATAGCAGAAATAAATAAAACAGAGACAAAAAAATAACAAAAACAACAGAAAAGATCAATGAAATCAAGTGTTGCTTTTTGGTTTTTTAAAAAGCTAAAAAAATAGATAAGCCTTCATCCAATCTCATTAAGAAAATAAGAGAGAGGACCCAAATAAACAAAATAAGAAATGAAACCAATATCACAAAAATACAAAAAAAAATCCTAAGAATACTACAAACAGTTATATGCCAATAAATTGGACAACCTGGAAGAAATGGATAAATTCGTAGAAACATACAATCTTCCAAGACTGAATCAGGAAGAAGTAGATAATCTGATCGGACTGATTACTAGTATTGAAATTAAATCAGTAATCGAAAAACTCCCCCAAAAAACAAAATCCCAGGACAGAACAGCTTCACAGGGGACTTCTACCAAACATAAAAATAAGAGTGAATACCTATCCTTCTCAAACTATTCCAAAAAGTTGAAGAGGGGGCTTCCCTGGTGGCGCAGTGGTTGAGAGTCCACCTGCCGATGCAGGGGACACGGGTTCATGCCCCAGTCCAGGAAGATCCCACATGCCGAGGAGCGGCTAGACCCATGAGCCATGGCCACTGAGCCTGTGCGTCCGGAGCCTGTGCTCCACAACAGGAGAGGCCACAACAGTGAGAGGCCCGCATACCACAAAAAAAAAAAAAAAGTTGAAGAGGAAGGAACATTCTGAAACTCGTACTATGAGGCCACAATTACTCTGACACCAAAACCAGACAAAAAAGAAAATTACAGGTCAATATCATTGATGAACATAGATGCAAAATGAAATATTAGGAAACCAAATTCGACAATACATTAAAAGGATCATACACCATGATCAAGAGGAAGTTATTCCAGGGATACAAAGATGGTTCAATATGTGCAAATCAACCAATATGATACACTATATTAAAAAAAAAAGGCTATAAATCACATGATCATCTCAATAGATGGAGAAAAAGCATTTGATGAAATTCAGCACTCATTCATGATAAACTCTAAACAAATTGGTATAGAGGGAACATATCTCAACATAATAAAGGCCATATATGACAAGCTCACAGCTAGCATAATACTCAGTGGTGAAAAACTGAAAACTTTTCTTCTAAAATCAGGAATAAGAAGGAATGCCCACGCGACACTTCTATTTAACATAGTGTTGGAAGTCCTAGCCACAGCAATCAGGCAAGAAAAGGTAATAAAAGGTATTCAAATTAGAAGGGAAGAAAACTATCACTATTTGCAGATGACATGATACTATATTTAGAAAGCCCTGAAGTTTCTACCAAAAAAACTACTAGAACTAATAAATAAATTTAGAAAAGTTGCAGGATACAAGATCAATGTACAGAAATCTGTTGCTTTCTCTACACTAATAATGAACTATCAGGAAGAGAAAGCAAAAAAGCATTCCTATTAACAATTTCATCAAAATGAATAATATATCTTAGGCATAAACTTAACCAGGGAGGTCAAAGACCTAACTCTGGAAACTATAAGACATTAATGAAGGAAACTGAATAGGAAGCGAATAAATGGAAAGAAATCCAATATTTGTGGATTAGAAGAATTAATATTGTTAAAATGTCCATACTACCTAAAACAATCTACAGATAAAATATCCATGAAATTTTTCATAGAAGTAGAACAAATAATCCTAAAATAGTGCTCCCTGACTTCAGACTTTACTACCAAGCTACAGTAATCAAAACAGTATGGTACTGGCACAAAACAGACACATAGATCAATGCAACAAAATGGAGTGTTCAGAAATAAACCCATGCACTTATGGTCAATTATTCTATGACAAAGGAGGCAAAAATATACAATGCGGAAAAGACAGTGTCTTCAATAAGTGGTGCTGGGAGAACTGGACAGCTGCATGTAAATATTGAAATTAGAACATTTTCTCACACCATATACAAAAATAAACCCAAAATTGATTAAAGACCTAAACATAGGACTGGAAATCATAACATTCCTAGAAGAAAACAACAGCAGTACACTCTTTAAGATAAGTCTTAGCAATATATATATATTTTTGATCTGTCTCCTAAAGCAAAGGAAACAAAAGCAAAAATGGGACCTAATCAAACTTAAAGGCTTTTGAACAAAGAAACCATCAACAAAACAAAAAGGCAACCTACTGAATGAGAGAAGGTATTTGCAAATTATATTTCTAATAAAGGATTAATATAGAGTTCATACAACTCAACATAAAAAGAAAAGCCCTATTTTAAAATGGGCAGAAGACCTGAATAGACATTTTTCCAAAGAAGACACAGATGGCCAACAGGCACATGAAAAGATGCTCAGCATCACTAATAAATGCAAATCAATCACCATAGTACCTCACACCTGTCCAAATAACTATCATCAAAAAGATAACATAGGGCTTCCCTGGTGGCACAGTGGTTGAGAGTCCGCCTGCCGATGCAGGGGACACGGGTTTGTGCCCCGGTCCCGGAAGATCCCACATGTCGCGGAGCGGCTGGGCCCGTGAGCCATGGCCGCTGAGCCTGCGCGTCTGGAGCCTGTGCTCCGCAATGGGAGAGGCCACAACAGTGAGAGGCCCCTGTACCGCAAAAAAAAAAAAAAAAAAAAGATAACATATAATAAATGTTGGCAAGGATATGGAGATAAGGGAACCCTCATACACTGTTGATGAGAATGTAAATTGGTACAGTAACTATGGAAAACAGTATGGCTGTTCCTCAAAAAAATAAAAACAGAGCTACTATATGATCCAACAATTCTGCTCCTGGATATGTGTCTGAAAAAAAATGAAAACACTAATTTGAAAAGATATGTGCACCCCCATGTTCATAGCAGGGTTATTTACAATAGCCAAGATATGGAAGCAACCTAAGTGTCCACCAACAGATAAATGGATAAAGAAGATGTGGTATATATACAATGGAATACTACTCAGCCATAAAAAATAATGAGATTTTGCCATTTGCAACAACATGAATGGACCTGGAGGGTATTATGCTTAGTGAAATAAGTCATACAGAGAAAAACAAATACTGTGTGTTTTCACTTATACATGGAATCTAAAAAAGTAAATGAATGAATATAACAAAACAGAAACAGACTCACAGATACAGAGAACTAACTAGTGGTTACTAATGGGAGAGGTGTAGCAGAGGGGCAATGTAGGAGAAGGGGATTAAGACGTACAAACTACTAGGTATAAAATAAATAAGATACAAGGTTGTAATGTATAGCACAGGGAATATAGCCAATATTTTATAACTTTAAATGGAGTATAATCTATAAAAATATCGAATCACTATGTTGTATACCTGAAACTAATATAATATTTTAAATCAACTATACTTCAATTTTTAAAAAATGATCTTGCTCAGTAGTACAAGCAGAAACTTGGTCACATATATTTGGGTGGATCCTTAGGGTATTAAACCAGGAGGGATGAATTATGTTTAGATAGGGGCAAATTTATCAATATGCGTATACCCACGATGGACTCAGGAGCAGCCCATGCTGCATTTCATACCAATGAAATATGTATTTCTCTAACGAGATCCTGATAAATATTTTTTAAAACTCTCTAAGTTTTTTTTGACGTGCAGCCATCTTTTGTGGTAACCTGAAGACATCTGTGGTGGTGGCTCTTCAATAATGAAGTCTGTGAAATAGAATAGATGGGCACCCTACAAAGATACTTTTTGACATATATACCTATATGAAATTCTGTGTCTCGTGGGCAGAACACACAAGTTATCATAACAGGGATTCAGATCCTCTTTCTCAGTCCTTGATATATCCTACTTTATAGACAGGAGGCTTCAAGTAAAGGAGAGACTGGGTCCTTTTGACAAAATTTCTCGTAACTTAACACAAGTATATACACAAGTATATAACACAAGTATATACAATTAATCATTTCCCAAAAGTCCCTAAGGGAGACCTGTGCCATCTACCAGTTGAATCTCCTTCAAACTGGATCTACAATGTATGGTAGCATCATTGGAAGTTATGGCTACTGCAATTACAGTCTCACTTAGGAGTGGTTCTCAAATGTGTAGTGATAAGAAATCTTCCCAGGGGCAAATTTTAAGGAGGTATATTTAGTAGTTCACTTTGTGAAGAAGAGCTGTGTCCTGAGGTTAGATTTATACTGATTCATGTCCAAAGCTCAACGAGTTGACGGGTAAAAGGGGGCTAGACAAAAATAAGACTGGAATAAGATGTCTGGAGGAGACAGATGTGGATGAAGTTCTAGGAATAGGTACTGAATAGGGTTTACAAATGCTTAAGAGAGGATAGGACATTAGAGGGAAGAAAACAAGTGAGGTTTGTGTATTTATAATTTTGGCTGGCTGTGCAGAGCCATGTAATGGCCATTACAATGTTTCTCTTCCTAAGGCCACAGCTCTCATAAGTGTAGCCTTTTCTGCCAGGCTCTGGTAATATTACTTACCCTCACTATAAGCCTGATGGTGATAATGGGTCCCTACCATCATCAGTTACAGGATGCTTCACCAACCCTACCCATGTTTTTGGAGCCCCCGTTTATTAAACTCAGGTGTCCTTTTGTTTCTTGACAACTGACACGTGTTTTTTGAGGTGACCCTGACAACAACCCTGATCATAAACTCCATGGGGATACAGAATTTAATATCTTTTATCTGCTGTTGTTATCCCAGCATCTAGAATGATGTCTATCGCACAGCAAGTTTTCAATAAATATTTGTTCCATGAACATATGTAGTGACCACTTTCTTTCCGTTAGTGAAATTTATGTTAAAGTCTATTATGATTGATTTAATGTAATACTGATTTAATACAGTTTGACCAGCATTTTTGTGCTGTTATTTGTAATTCATTAAAGAATGACAAAGAATTACGTACGTCAGCAAAAAGCAAGCAAACTTGTTATGTGCACAGTAATCCAAGATCAACGTAATTTAATTAACAAAATTTGTTGAAACAATAATAGAATTCATCTGAAAACAATGTTGAGTCATAAAAACTAACAGCTTCCTTATATATCAATACATCTATACCTGCAGCACTGCCTTGACCTCCAGTAGAACCTCCACACTGGGCTCCAGGGGTGCTAGCACGGGGCTTAGGGGTTAATGGGTCTGTTGGCTGTATAGAAACAGTGTAGAGGTCCCAAGTTGAAAAATTACAAAATTATAATTTTACAGCTATTTAATTTCAATCCTAAATACCTCAGTCGTCCTGCCTTTTTTTTTTTTACAAAACCAATTTTCTTACGTAACTCAAAATTTTTTCACACTTTACCTACGTAATGGTAATTTTAACGTTTTCAATATCCAATCCATATTCAAGTTTCCCCGACTGTCTCCAAATGACTTATGAAAAAACTGCTAGTTCAATTGGGAGCCAATAGAGGACCACCCTTTGCATCTGGCATTTAAGTTGATATTTAACCCGTTCTCTTCAGGATCTTTGAGAGGCTGGGCAGGATACTTGTAAGACATCGCCCTTCAGCTTTCTAAAATACGTAAACGCCTAAAGAGTGACCGCAGCAGTGGACGCGGAGGTCTATGGGAAATGTAGTCTTGAATCCTTCGGTTTTACCGCGCGGCGCTCTGGGAAGGGGATTCTGGGCTGCTTCTGCGCGTGTGCGGCTGTATCCCCGCCTCCTCTTTCGTCTTCTCTGGACGCCAGGGAAGAGGTTTGGGAAGCTGGGAGTCGGCTCGGAAAGTGAAGGGTGCGCGCCTGGGGTGAGAGTGCGGGGGAACCAGCTGAGAGGGGTGCATTTGTGCCTAGGGATGGAAGCGGAAAATCTTTGGGACTCCCTCCCGCCAACGCCGGTGTATGCGCCCGGGCGGGCCCTCAGCCTGGGGGAGGCCGGTAGGGGGTGACCCCGGCCCTCGGGCTCCCGGGGTACAGGTCGGGCTGGTTCGGTTAAGAGCAGGTGCTCAGTGTAGGCCTGGGTGTGTGGGGACTGTGTGCTCGGCCCCGCCTGCAGCCCGACAGGGGAAAAAAAGCCCATGTCGGCGGCAGGGGGCAAAGTGAATTTATAGTGCTGACGGTGGCCAGGGGTCTGCGATGAGAGCCCCAGCTCTGGAGCAGAAGGGCCCGGTAAATTACAGGTCTGTCACCTGTAAGCAGGGTTACAGAAGGAATCTGGGTAAGAGGTATTTCATATGAAAATGATACTAATGATGACTGTTTCATGGCGTTGTTTTGAAACTTAGATCTAAGTCATCACTTCTAAAGCATTTAGACTAGTGCCAGATACTGAGCACTGAGTAAGTGACAACTGCTATTATAGTTGGAAGACACTTTATTCTTTTCATTGGACGGCTTTATGTTATCTCACTACCACTTTAACAAAAACCGAGGCTCAGGTTGGTGGAACGGTGTGGTCAGGTCACAAGCTAGTAGTGAGGGAGTTTAGATTCAAGGGCAGGTGTGCTTTACTTACAGCCTCAGGCTTTGTCTAAATATCACACCTACCTAATACCGACATTGTAGGCTTCACAGCACTTAGCAAAGAGGCCTGTCGCTGGTTCCCAGAAGTATAAGGGAAAGTGAATGTAGATGGAATCCTACCATGTGTCAAAATGTGTTCTGGGATTTCTAGTGTCTCTTCACGTCACTTGGGGCAGAGGTCCCTGGCCCGTTCTGCATTGTCAGGCTGTCTGTCTTTTAAGTCTGGTATTATAATGAATTCCAAGAATTAGGTTTTTGCTCCTAAAATGAATTGTTTCTTGGATCCACGTCCCAGTTACCTTGAAACAAAGTGACCCTTGTGAAGTAGGAAGCAGGGAGTCTCTGTTAACAGGGAGTCTCTGTTAACAGGAGTCTTACCTGGAAGAGAGCACCCCTATGACCTTAGACCTCGTTCCAGAGCCTCAGAGCAGAGACAGAAGAGCCCAGAAAGGAGCAGATCCTAGATTTGCAAGATCAGAAGCTGTTCTTAATCTCCCTGCTCAGAATGAGCCAGTCTTGATGATGACCCCATCTCCAGAAGCCACCAGACTATGTGGCAGTGGGGGGTTTGGGCCAGCCTTGAGAAGAGCAAGGTGAGCTGAACTGGTCCAGGGGCAGGCTATTCAGGAAAGGCCATTTTTGCTGGAGAGCTTGTGAGGGTGAGGTCTGGGGGTAAGGGATAACCAGGCAGAGGGAGGAAATGCTGTCTCCACTCCCTTTAAATGCCCCCCCCCAAAGATGCTGTGTTGCTGTCACGTGTGTCTATCACCACATGTGACACTAGTGATATGCTGACCTCACAGGATCCCAGAATGATGATATGTGAAGGGTTTTCCAAGGTCATCTATTTCTAACTCTCCTGAAATCTTTAAAGACATCGGGCCTGAAAAGTTCAATGACTTGTCCAGGGAAACCCAGTTTGTTTGTTACAGAATCAGGAAAACAGTGCACTTCGCCCTCTCACAGGTAGGTCACCAAAAGGGCCTTTTGACAAATATATCACGGCTGAAACAATTAAAATTTCCTGCCTTAAGGCATCCCATCTCTTTTATTAGGCTTTCTGTAGATTGTTTATACCAGCAGGTAAATAATATTAATAAGAAAAATAGATAAATGGTGCATACTGAGTATTGTTCTGCTACGTTAATTTTAATGAAAGTATAGTGTCTTATCCTTTGGTGTATTTAATTCAGCTAATCTTCTGTTGTTTTTATTTACTTGTGTTAGGACACATGCATTATTTTTAAAGTGATTGAGAAAAGTTTACATTCACTCAGTTAAAAACTGCAGATTTAATCCTCATGGTCATCTCAGAGTCACACAAAGACAGGTGGTACCACCTGTATGTGATCACTCTAGTGCCTTTTCAAGGCCGAGAGGGCCCTATGCCTATAAGGAAGATGATCCCCACCTGGGGTGCTGAGATTTTTGGGGGGGTGAATCTAGGAGCTATAAGACAGGTTATGTCTCATGACACCCATCTTTCTGTCCCCTCAGCTGAACCACAGTTCTCTACTCTCCCAAGAGCAGAAAATGAACATACCTCAGGTGAGCTCTTCATTCTTTCCCCATTTTGCATTTTTGTGGATTTATAAGGTTAAGAAGCATCCATGCATTAAATGGAAAAAAATAAAAATAGATAAGTCAATCTTGAGGGATAATATACACTATTTTACTATTAATTGTGATGTTTGCTGTCAGCTTTTGGTAGGTTACCTTTGTCAGGGTAAGAAGGTTGCCTCCATGTATCTGTTTGTTAAGATTTCACATTAGTCATGAATGTGCATTAAATTACATTGATTACATTTTGTGTATCTATTGGAGCAAAGCTATAGCTTATTTCCTTTAATCTATAAATACTGTAAACAGTATAATGGATTTTCTAATGTTAACTTAAATCCCTGTGTAGACCCTAATTGCTAATAAGTGTGGTAAGTTGCTTCTTACATATCTTCCTAGGACTTTTTGCTAATACTGTATTTAGGATTTTTATTTTTGTATCCACAACTTGGATTAGACTATGCTTTCTTGTTTCTGTGTCCAATTATGGTATCATGGTCACAGTCTCATAAAAGGAAATGGGACATTTTCCTGCTCCTTTTCTTTAATAATAATTTAGATGAGAAAATTGTGTTACATGTAGATTTTGTTAAACTCACCTATAAATTAGGGCCTTATGAAGACTTTTTGCATGAAGATTTTGATTAATTTATTGGTCATAAGTCTATGATGGATTTGTATGTTTTTTTTTTAGTGTAACTTTCCTCATTACGTTTTCATAGAAAATTGTTCATTTTTATTTATTTATTTTTAAATTTTGGCTGCGAAGGGTCTTAGTTGTGACACACTGGATCTTTGTTGTGGCATGCAGGATCTTTAGTTGTGGTATGCGGACTCTTAGTTGTGGCACGCAGAGTCTTAGTTGCAGCATGCATACGGGATCGGATCTAGTTCCCCAACCAGGGATCGAACCTGAGCCCCCTGCATTGGGAGCGCAGAGTCTTACCCACTAGACCACCAGTGAAGTCCCTATTTATGTTTTTAAATGTATTTTCATGAGCTTGTTGATAGTATTCTCTTAGGATTTCAAAATCTGTGTTATATCAATAATTTCCTTTTTTGATCAACTTTAAAATTTTATTTCAGTGTAAAGCTTGCCAATCAGAAAAGGAAAAAGTATGTTCTCGTTGGCGCAATCTAAAACCAAGAATTTCTGTGTCTGAGGGTCTTAGTATTCTGTGCTGGCAGAATAGAATAGAGGAATTGGGAGTAGAGGAACGTGCACTTGCCATGTTTGTGCTTTCTACCTTTGCATACCCACCTATCAGCACCATTTGTTGACAAGAGTATCCTTTCTCCATTGAATTGCATTGGCATCTCTGAGGGAAATCAACTAGCAACCCAACAACCAATTGGGTCTGTCTCTGGATTCTGTTCACTTCTTTTTTTTTATTTTTTAAAAAATTTTATTGCAGTATAGTTGATTTACAATGTTGTGTTAATTGCTGTACAGCAAAGTGACACAGTTAAACATATATATATATTCTTTTTTGTATTTTCATTATGGTTTATCACAGGATATTGAATATAGTACCCTGTGCTATACAGTAGGACCTTGTTATTTATCCATCCTATATATAAAGCTTGCATCTGCTAATCTCAAACTCCCAATCCTTCCGCCCCCCACCCCTCCTCCCCCTCGGCAACCACAAGTCTATTCTCTATATCTATGTGGACTCTGTTAACGTCTGATGACCTTAATCCTTTTGCTAATACCACGTTGCCTTGATGAGTGTCTCTTTATAGTAACTCTTGAAATCAGATAATATGTGTCTTCCAACTTGGTTCTTTATTAGGAGTGTTTTGGAGATTCTAGGTACTTTGCTTCTCTATAGAAAGTTTTGAAAATTGCCTTGTCTATCTCAGGAAAGCCTGCTGAGATTTTGATTTTGACTGCACTGACTCTATAGAATCTGTAATATCGATCAATTTGGGGAGAATTAACATCTTGATCAAAATGTCTTCCAGTACATTAACACATTATCTCTCGCAATGTGGGGTTTTGAGGGTTTTCATTTTTATTCTTTTGAGTCAAAAAGTTTAAAAGTATAAGCCTACATTTTGAAGATAAACTCTAGTGGGGTAGTAGTGAAAGCAGGAACAATATAGGAGGCTATTTCTGTAATCCTAGCAATAAATGATGATCATTTAAGGGTGTTAGTTGCTTTCAAGTGGTCAGATTCTGAAGGTAATTTAAGGTAGAACCAACAGCCTAGGAGTGTGTGTTTCTTCTCCACAACCTTACAAATAGAGTGTGCTATCAAACTTTTTGAATTTTTACTAATGTGATTAAAAATGATAACTCAAGTTTAGTTTTACAAGCTTTCCTCTTCTCATGAGTGAGGTGGAACATCTCTTTTGTTTGTAATTCATCTATATTTCTTTTTTATTGAACTGTTTATTTCTTACTGTTTTCCTGTTGATGTGCTGATTTTAATTAATATATCCAATATATCTTTATAGCCATTTTTCAGTGATATAAATTGCACAATTTTCCTAGTTTTTCATATTTTTGCCTTGCTCATGTTTTTTTAATTTTTGCCATAAAGGCATTTGTTTTTTGTTTTTAACTGTGGTGAACTTTTTTGGCATTTAAAAAAATGTATTGAAGTACAGTTGATTTACAATGTTGTGTTAGTTTCAGGTATACAGCAAAGTGATTCAGTTATACAAATGTATATACATATATATACATATATATACAGTATATAAATTCTTTATCAGATTCTTTTCCGTTATAGGTTATTACAAGATACTGAGTATAGCTCCCTGTGCTATACAGTAGGTCCTTGTTGGTTATCTGTTTTATATATTGTGGTATGTATATGTTAATCCCAAATTCCTAATTTATCCCTCCCCCCCCTTTGCCGTTTGATAACCATAAGTTGTTTTCTACGTCTTTGAGTTTATATCTCTTCTGTAAGTAAGTTCATTTGTATCATCTTTTTAGATTACACATATAAGTGATATCATATAATATTTGTCTTTCTTCTTATGATAATCTCTAGGTCCATCCATGTCGCTGCAAATGGCATGATTTCATTCTTTTTTGTGGCTGAGTAATATTCCATTGCATATATAGAGATATATGTAGATATATACACACCACATCTTTGTCCATTCATTGGTTGATGGAAATTTAGGTTGCTTCCATCTCTTGGCTATTGTAAAATGCTGCAATGAACATTGGGGTGCATGTATCTTTTCGAAGTATGGTTTTCTCCAGGTATATGCCCAGGATTGGGATTGCAAGATCATATGGTAGCTCTATTTTTCGTTTTTTAAGGAACCTCCGTACTCTTCTCCATAGTGGCTGCACCAATTTACATTCCCACCAACAGTGTAGAAGGGTTCCCTTTTCTCCACACCCTCTCCAGCATTTGTGATTTGTAGATATTTTGATGATAGCTATTCTGACTGGTGTGAGGTGATACCTCATTGTAGTTTTGATTTGCATTTCTCTAATAATTAGTGATATTGAGCACCTTTTCATATGCCTGTTAGCCATCTGTATGTCTTCTTTGGAGAAATGTCTGTTTAGGTCTTCTGCCCATTTTTTGATTAGGTTGTTTGGTTTGAGCTGTTTGTATATTTTGGAAATTAATCCCTTGTCAGTAGCATCATTTGCAAATATTTTCTCCCAGTCTGTAGGTTGTCTTTTCATTTTGTTCATGGTTTCCTATGCTGTGCAAAAGCTCTTAAGTTTAGTTAGGTCCCATTTGTTTATTTTTGTTTTTATTTCCATTACTGTAGGAGACAGATCCAGAAAAATATTGCTGTGATTTATGTCAAAGAGTGTTCTGCCTGTGTTTTCCTCTAGGAGTTTTATAGTATTTGGTCTTACATTTAGATCTTAAATCATTTTATTTTTGTGTATGGTGTTAGAGAATGTTCTAATTTCATTATTTTACATGTAGCTGTCGAATTTTCCCAGCACCACTTGTTAAAGAGACTGTCTTTTCTCCCTTGTATATTCTTGCCTCCTTTGTCAGATTAGTTGACCATAGGTGTGTGGGTTTATTTCTGGGCTTTCTGTCCTGTTCCATTGATCTATATGTCTGTTTTTGTGCCAGTATCATAGTGTTTTGACGACTGTAGTTTTGTAGTATAGCTTGAAGTCAGAGAGCGTGATACCTCCAGCTCAGTTCTTCTTTTTCAAAATTGCTTTGGCTATTCAGGGTCTTTCGAAGGCATTTGATTTTTATGTTGTCAAGTTTAGCAGTTTTTTCTTTTATGCTTCCTGGATTTTTAGTCATAGTTGGGCATTTCCCACTCTGACCTTATAAAAGAATTGCTCTGTGTAGTCTTTTAGAGTATGATTTTATTTTTTACAGTTAGATCTCGAATACATTTTAATTTTATCCTGCTCTGTGGTGTGAGATATAGATCAGTCTTTTTCCAGATGGCCATCTAGTTATTCCGATGACATTTGTATCTAGCCATTTCTCACTCATTTAAATGATGTCACCTGTATTCAAATAGGAAATTGACTCTGTTTATCATTTCTCCTACTACACAATTTCTTCAGTTTAAGCTTGGACGTCTTTCTGGGCTTTCACCAGTGCCCTGTTCCTTTTTCCCACTTCTACATTTATATTAGATTGCGGGCAATATTGTTCTATTTTTTTATCAATACTACCTTACCCTCTATCTTCCAGAATTTGTTCAAAATTCAGGCCTTGTGCTGGGACGTTTCTCTGAATTCCTCTTTTGTCATACTTTTATAGCTATAAAAGCTTTTTATTTTACCTGAATGTGTTTTTGGAGGCAGGGGATGTAAATGTGTGTGTTCAGTTTATTCCCTTGAACTAGAGAAATAATTTTTGCTTGTAATTCTCTCGTCTCGTAATTTCTGGTACTCTAATCTTTCTGTTTTCTCTTTCTATCAGTTAGAAATTCTTTCTCAGCCTTCCTGGCCTATCTTTCTACCTGCCTTTTAAATTTTGCTATTCCCTTGAATTTTGTACTTGCTCCTTTTCTTTCCTAAAGTTTCTGTGTTCTTTCTGAACCAGCCCTTTTTCCCTGATGACTTAAGTTACCATCTTAATGACTGTCTCCTAGATCCTTATTTTCATTTTAGATTTCCCTTCTCTGTTCCAGAATCTTGCAGCCAACGATGAAATAAATAATTCCATATGTTCCATGGGTGTTTTGAGTGCAGTTGAACAACATCTGCTCCCTGTGACCCAGCCTCTGATTCTTATTCTTCCAGTCTCTGAGTATGGCATCAGCATCTACCCACTTGCTTGTGCAGCATCTCTGTGTATTAATTTCCCATTCTTTATCGCTGTTGCTTTGCCTTAGTATAGGTCATCTCTTAAACTGGGTATTTTGTTTTGTTGCTGAAGATATTGTCCACTATTCATATAGAACGATGGTTCCTAACTAGGGGTGATTTTGCTTCCCAGGAGACATTTGGAAGTATTTGGAGATATTTTTGATTGTCATGATTGGGAATGCTATTGATATCTAATCAGTAGAAAACAGGGATACTGGTAAATATCCTAAAATACACAGGACAGTCTTCCACAAAAATAGCATTATCTGGTCCAGAGTGTCAGTAGTGCCAAACTGAAGATACCCTGCTATGGAGCAAAGGCAGAGTTAGTCATCTTTTATAGCATTTTGTTTTAAACTCTAAACAGTAAAAATATATCTGGAGAAAACCATGGTTCGAAAGTATACATGCACCCCAGTGTTCATTGCAGCACTGTTTACAATAGCCAAGGCAAGGAAGCAACCTAAATGTCCATCAACAAATGAACTGATAAAGAAGATGTGGTGTATATATATACAGTGGAATACTACTCAGCCATTAAAAAGAATAAAATAATGCCATTTGCAGCAACATGGATGGAAAGGTGGGGAGGGAGGGATAAATTGGGAGTTTGGGATTGACATATACACACTAGTATATTTAAAATAGATAACCAACAGGAACCTAATGTGTAGCACAGGGAACTCTGCTCAATATTCTGTAATAACATAAATGGGATAGGAATTTTAAAAAGAATAGATATATTTATATGCATAACTGAATCACTTTGCTGCACACCTGAAACTAATACAGCATTGTAAATCAACTATAGTCCACTAAAAAATAAAAATTAAATAAACAGTAAACATAGTAGGAGTTAGTTTTCAAAAATATTTTCCATGTCCCAATTCTGAACCCTCAGATTGATTAGAAATATGTTGTTAACAGGCATCAGTGTCATTCAAGGACGTGACTGTGGAGTTCACCCAGGAGGAGTGGTGGCAGATGGACTCTGCTCAGAGGACCCTGTACAGAGATGTGATGTTGGAGAACTACAGCCACCTCGTCTCAGTGGGTGAGCAGACCTTACCATGTGACTTCCTCAGGAATGCAAATTCAGTTTTTTCTCTTTTTAAATGTTAATCACTTTTGTTGACGAATATTAAATGGAAAATTTAGCACTTTTCAATGTACAAGTCAATAGGTTTTAAAAGATTATACAGGAGATTACCATCATCAAAATCATGATTTGGAATATTTTCATCATCCCCCCCAAAATTCCTTGTACCCCTTTGCAGTGAGTCCCCTCCTTTCATTCCTACTTCTCAGACCCCAAGCAATCACTGATCTGTTTTCTATTTCAATAGCTTTTCCTTTTTTCGAATTTTATATAAATGAATTCGTAAAGTATATACTGTGTTTTGTCTGGCTTCTTTCATTTAGCATGATGCTTTTGAGACTCGTGTGTGTGTGTGTGTGTGTGTGTGTGTGTGTGTGTGTGTGTGTGTATCACAGGTTTATTCTTTTTATCCTTAGTAGAATTCCTTTGTGTGCATATACCGCAGTTTGTTATCCTTTCAGTTCATAGACACATGGGTGTTTTTCCAGTTTGGGGCTGTTATGAAAAAGCTTCTATGAACATTCACATATAAGTCTTTGTGTCAATATCTTTTCATTTCTTATGTAAATACCTAGGAGTGGGCTTACTGGGTCTTCTGGTAAGTTTATATGTAACTTACTCAGAAACTGCCAAATGTTCCCAAGTTGGGTCTATTGTTTTTCATGCCTATAAGCAATGTCTGAGAGTTATCATTGCTCTTTGATTACCAACATTTCTAGTTGCATCTTATTGGATTTTAATTTGCATTTCTCTGGTAATTAACAATGTTGAACTTCTTTTCATTTGCTTTTTAACCATTCATAATCTCCTTTAATGAAGTGTCTCATGAAATCTTTTGCCCATTTTTTTTGTATAGTTTTTTGGTTTGCGTCTTATTGTTGACTTGAAGGAGTTTAGATCTTTATATATGTTTTGCAAATGTTGTATTCTCTAGCTCTGGCTTGCCTTTTTTTTTTTTTTAAACATCTTTATTGGGGTATAATTGCTTTACAATGATGTGTTAGTTTCTGCTTTATAACAAAGTGAATCAGTTATACATATACATATGTTCCCATATCTCTTCCCTCTTGCGTCTCCCTCCCTCCCTATCCCACCCCTCCAGGCGGTCACAAAGCACCGAGCCAATATCTCTGTGCCATGCGGCTGCTTCCCACTAGCTATCTACCTTACGTTTGTTAGTGTGTATATGTCCATGTCTCTCTCTCGCCCTGTCACAGCTCACCCTTCCCCCTCCCCATATCCTCAAGTCCGTTCTCCAGTAGATCTGCGTCTTTATTCCTGTTTTACCCCTAGGTTCTTCATGACATTTGTTTTGTCTTAAATTCCATATATATGTGTTAGCATACGGTATTTGTCTTTCTCTTTCTGACTTACTTCACTCTGTATGACAGACTCTAGGTCTACCCACCTCATTACAAATAGCTCAATTTCGTTTCTTTTTATGGCTGAGTAATATTCTATTGTGTATATGTGCCACATCTTCTTTATCCATTCATCCGATTATGGGCACTTAGGTTGTTTCCATCTCCGGGCTATTGTAAATAGAGCTGCGATGAACATTTTGGTACATGACTCTTTTTGAATTTTGGTTTTCTCAGGGTATATGCCCAGCAGTGGGATTGCTGGGTCATATGGTAGTTCTATTTGTAGTTTTTTAAGAACCTCCATACTGTTCTCCATAGTAACTGAACCAATTCCCATTCCCAGCAGCAGTGCAAGAGTGTTCCCTTTTCTCCACATCCTCTCCAGCATTTATTGTTTCTAGATTTTTTGATGATGGCCATTCTGACTGGTGTGAGATGATATCTCGTTGTAGTTTTGATGTGCATTTCTCTAATGATTAATGATGTTGAGCATTCTTTCATGTGTTTGTTGGCAGTCTGTATATCTTCTTTGGAGAAATGTCTATTTAGGTCTTCTGCCCATTTTTGGATTAGGTGGTTTGGTTTTTTTTGTTATTGAATTGTATGAGCTGTTTGTATATTTTGGAAATTAATCCCTTGTCAGTAGCATCATTTGCAAATATTTTCTCGCAGTCTGTAGGTTGTCTTTTCATTTTGTTTATGGTTTCCTATGCTGTGCAAGAGCTCATAAGTTTAGTTAGGTCCCACGTGTTTATTTTTGTTTTTATTTCCATTACTGTAGGAGACAGATCCAGAAAAATATTGCTGTGATTTATGTCAAAGAGTGTTCTGCCTGTGTTTTCCTCTAGGATTTTTATAGTATCTGGTCTTATATTTAGATCTTTAATTCATTTTGTTTTTGTATATGGTGTTAGAGAATGTTCTAATTTTATTATTTTACATGTAGCTGTCCAGTTTTCCCAGCACCACTTGTTAAAGGGACTGTCTCCATTGTTTATTCTTGCCTCCTTTGTCATAGATTAGTTGACCGTAAGTGTGTGGGTTTATTTCTGGGCTTTCTATCCTGTTTCATTAATCTGTATGTCTGTTTTGGGCCAGTACCATACTGTTTTGATGACTGTAGCATTGTAGTATAGTCTGAAGTCAGGGAGCCTGATTTCCTCAACTCTGTTTTTCTTTCTCAAGATTGCTTTCTCAAGATTCGGGGTCTTTTGTGTTTCCATACAAATTAAAATTTTTTTTGTTCTAGTTCTGTGAAAAATGCATTGGGTAGTATCATCATTTTGAAAATATTAATTCTTCCAATCCAAGAACATGGTATATCTTTCCATCTGTTTATGTCATCTTCAGTTTCTTTCCTCAGCATCTTAGAGTTATCAGAGTACATGTCTTTGGCCTCCTGAGGTAGGTTTATTCCTAGGTACTTTATTCATTTTGATGCGATGATAAACAGAATAGTTTCCTTAATTTCTTCTAATCTTTCCTTGTTAGTGTATGGAAAGGCAATGGGTTTCTGTGTATTAATTTTGTATCCTGCAACTATACTGAATTCATTGATGAGCTCTAGTAATTTTCTGGTAGCATCTTTAGGATTTTCTATGGATAGTATCATGTCATCTGGAAACAGTGACAGTCTTAGTTCTTTTCCAATTTGGATTCCTTTTATTTCATTTTCTTCTCTGATTGCTGTGGCTAGGACTTCCAAAACTATGTTGAATAAAAGTGGTGAGAGTGGACATCCTTGTCTTGTTGCTGATCTTAGAGGAAATGCTTTCAGATTTTCACCATTGAGTATTAATTAGCTCTGGGCTTGTCATATATGGCCTTTATTATGTTGAGGTAGGTTCCCTCTATGCCTACTTTCTGGAGAGTTTTTATCATAAATGGATGTTGAATTTTATCAAAAGCTCTTTATGCATCTATCGTGATGATCATATGTTTTTTATTCTTCAGTTTGTTGATGTGGTGTATCACACTGATTGATTTGTGGATATTGAAAGTCCTTGCATCCCTGGGATAAAGCCCACTTGATCATTATGTATGATTCTTTTAATGTATTGTTGGATTTGGTTTGCTAGACTATGTTGAGAATTTTTGCATCTATGTTGATCAGTGATATTGGCTTGTAATTTTCTTTTCTTGTGGTGTCTTTGTCTGGTGTTTGGTATCAGGGTGGTGGTGGCCTCATAGAATAAGTTCGGAAATATTCCTCCCTCTGCAATTCTTTGGAATAGTTTCAGAAAGATAGGTGTTAACTCTTCTCTAAATGTTTGATAGAATTCACCTGTGAAGCCATCTGGTCCTAGACTTTTGTTGGGAGTTTTTAAATCACAGATTCAATTTCAGTAGTTGTTTGTTCATATTTTGTTCGGTTCATATTTTCTATTTCCCCCTGGTTCAGTCTTGGGAGATTGTACTTTTTAAAGAATTTATCCATTTCTTCTAGGTTGTCCATTTTATTGGTATATTTTATTGTCCATGTTGTTGGCCTGTAGTAGACTCTTATGGTCCTTTGTATTTCTGTGGTGTCAGTTGTAAATTCTCCTTTTTCATTTCTAATTTTATTGATTTTGGCCCTCCTCTTTTTTCTTGATAAGTCTGGGTGAAGGTTTTTCAATTTTGTTTATCTTTCCAAAGAACCAGCTTTTAGTTTCATTCATCTTTTCTATTGTTTTCTTAGTTTCTCTTTCATTTATTTCTGCTCTGATCTTTATGATTTCTTTCCTTCTAGTAACTTTGGATTTTGTTTTTTCTTCTTTTTCCAGTTGTTTTAGATATAAGGTTAGGCTGTTTATTTGAGATTTTTCTTCTTTCCTGAGGTAAGCTTTTATCGCTATAAACTTCCTCTTGGAACTGCTTTTGCTACATGCCATGGGTTTTGGAATGTCATGTTTTCACTTTCATTTGTCTCTGGGTATTTTTCGATTTCCTCTTTGATTTCTTTGGTGATCCATTGGTTGTTTAGTAGCATATTGTTTAACCTCCATGTTTTTGTGTTTTTTGCAGTTTTTTTTCTTGTGGTTGATTTCAAATCTCATAGCCTTGTGGTCAGAAAAAATGCTTGATGTGTTTTCAGTTTTCTTAACTTTACTGAGGCTTGCTTTGTGGCCCAGCATGTGATCTATCCTGGAAAATGCTCCATGTGCACTTAAAAAGAATATGTATTTTGCTACTTTCTTATGGAATACTCTAAAAACATCAATTAAGTCCATCAGGTCTAATGTGTCATTTAAGGCCTGTGTTTGCTTATTGATTTTTTTGTCTGGATGATCTGTCCATTGATGTAAGTGGGGTGTTAAAGTCCCCCACTATTATTGTGTTACTGTCAATTTCTCCTTTTATGGCTGTTAATGTTTGCATTATATATTGAGGCGCTTCTGTGTTGGGTGCATGTATATTTACACTTGTTATATCTTCTTGGATTGATCCCTTGATCATTATGTGGTGTCCTTCTTTGTCTCCTGTAACAGTCTTTATTTAATTTAATTAATTTTTTTTTTTTTGCGGTACGTGGGCCTCTCACTGTTGTGGCCTCTCCCGTTGCGGAACACAGGCTTCGGACGCACAGGCTTAGCGGCCATGGCTCACGGG